GCGAGTAGGTGGCAACAGTATCCCGATACAATTGCTAGAGCTTCTATAGGCCAGTGAGATATGAATCTATTCCGGCATTGCGCATCCTCCAACCGACCTCGACAACACGTGCAGTTCAATCATCCGCGGATTATCGTCGATAAAAATTTCGATAACTACAATTCCGTTGGAATCGTATAGCTGAAGATTCCAGCACTTTTAAATCTTCGCAGGCTCTCTGTGCTGATACAAAGAAACAGAAGCGAACTAATGTTATATATGGGGTTGAAAAAGAAGCACCACAGAATCGTCATTTGGAAATCAACAAAAAAATTATAAAAAGATATCTGTATAAATTTTAAGAAGCGACCATGATATTTCTCGGGGAAAAAGAAAGTTTAAGGTTCTCTAGTTATTGACGCTTAAATCTTTCGTCTTACTAAATTGATGAGCACATTTTATTTTAAAATAGACCCTGAAAAAAATTAGTAACGGCCTTTACATAAGGTTTAGGATGTAAACTTTGAAATTATTCCGCCTTCATGAGTCCTGTCTCTTCATCGACGCTCCAATCATCAATTTAACCTAAAGGACTTGGGATTCTTACTCGGGAGCTTAACCCCCGAGACTCCCGTCCAAGAACTCCAACGTTTTAACAATAAGCATGACCCTCGACCGGAGATCCCGGAAGAGCCCGAGTGGGAGTTCCGGGGGGCAATAGTTTCCCAGTCGGAGAGTCGGGAGAGCGAAGCCATTCCCCCATTTCACATTGCGGCTTCTTTTGCAGTAAGAAAAATTATAAGAGCCCGAGAATCCCAAGTCCTTTAGGACAGGTTGACAATTGGAGCGCCGATGAGGAGACAAGACTCCTAGAGACGGAATAATTTCAAAGTTTAAATCCTAAATTTTGCGTAGGGAATTTGCTAATTTTTTCAGGGTCTATTTTAATATAAATTAAACTCGTCAATTTAATAAGACGAAAGATTTAAGCGTCAATAAGAAGATATAATAACTAGAGAACCTCAAATTTCTTTTTCCCCGAAAAATTTCATGATTGCTTCTTAAAACTTACACAAATATCTTTTTATAACTTGTTTCGTTGATTACGCAGTTAGAAAAAATGCAATTTTTCGTCGAATATTTCCAAACATTTACTCACGTAATATTAACAAAAGTTATAAAGTGACTAATACTTATTATGAAGGTAACGTAAGGTAATATACTCTCTAAAACTAAACGATCACATTCAGACTTTAGTACGATCAACAATTGCAATGTTATTCATGTAATTGTAATTATTGGACTATGTGTGTTTGGTATAAATATTTTAAACAAATATATGTGTAATATATACAAATTTCAATCTTATAGATTCTGTTATCTCATCCGTTACTATTCACATCGTGACAGTGTTCCCGACAATATTGCCACTACTGAAACTAAACGCTGTGCTAAGCGCCACGACGCTAATCTTAATTATGCCAACCTTATCCTGACCGTTCATATATTCCGTTTCAATCATTTTATGAATGAATATTTATTATTCGAAACAGTACATCATATACTTGCAAAACACTTTATTCCGGCTAGCAACATGTTGCTTAACCTTATTCATGATAGGTAATATTAATAAACAATTTCGAGAGTTTCAAAAATTTACTTTGCTACTATTAAATCAGTTGTTTTCGTTTTTTCAACTATAATATTCCGATTTTAATGAAACTCAGACAATATATCTATGTTCTAAAAGGTTCATTACACAATTTTGTATCCACTGTTCCTTTCAAGACACTAAAAAAAGCACTTGGAGCCACTTAGATCTGGTCTCTTCTATTTAGAGTATTTCCGCTAATTATTTTCTATTCCCTGTTCTCTTTGTACGTGTTAATCTATTTTTCGTATTTAACAAAGTACGCAATTATGAAACGCTAAACGCGTAACTCTTTCCCTCTTTTCCTCCGCATAATCCCCGGAGTGGGAAGCGGAAGATCCTTTGTCTCAGGACAGGCAACGAATTCCCCTCATCCCGAACATCCCGAAGCTATCGCCTTCTCGATGCAAATACACCGTCATCCTTTCGCGTAACTTACGTCCCACCGCAGGCACGCACTAATTACATGCCAGCCGGAAGAGGAAACTCGTGGATGGTACCGCGGTATGCAGCGTAACGTAACCGCAGGTACCGGCGAGGCACCGGCAGGGCGGAGGTCGAGTCTCTCTGGCCGTAACTCTTGATTCTCTTTGAAGCGCGGAAGCTGCCCGCAACACCTGACTGACTCGACGGACGCGTATATGGCAGGTCGAGCGGCAGACAGAGCTCGCCGGGGTTGAAGCGAGTTGGGGGGCAAAGAGGAAGGCAACCACCACGGGTGGGCCGAGAGAGAGAGAGAGAAGGGGCAAGAGCGCGAGGAAGCGGAAGGGAGGCAGAAAGAGAAAGATTAATAATATAGGAAAGCCAAAGCCACGCCGCAGCCCCTGACAAGCTTTCCTCCGCCTCTCTTCTGTTGCCAACAGTTAATCGATATAATACTTCGGTATAACACGCCGCACACCGCCGGCGTACGCGCGCGGCAAGAAAGAGCCCGCGCGCGTACACACACGTGTGTACACGCGGGGCACTTTCATCGCGAGGGCCACCCTGGGCTCTCGAAGGCTCGCTTAACGAGCTCGTCGATATCACCAGCCACACCGCAGGGAGAGCAGGTGGTTCTTTTCCTCCTGATTTCTGCATCAGCGATTTGTCAGAAGGGTGGAGATTTGAAAGTTCCCGGGTGGACCGGAGGCGCGACTTCGACACGGGACTTGGGTGTCGCGCGTATCGTCAGGTGCAGCTGGGCTCGGAATGTGTTATTTTCTCCTCTTTTCTTACGTTGAGGTGTTCAGTCCGAGCGTCATGTGTGCCGTACACGGAGAAAAAGGTTGGCTGAATCAACGTGACAATGAACGCGAGCCGAACGCGTTTCCGCTTCGGAGGAGACAGAATTTCCGGCCCTTAAACCGAATTTAATTCGTAAGGACTACACGGAAAAAGAAGTTCGGTTGAATTCGGCAGACCGTGGAACGAAATGAACGCGTTTTAATTGAAGGGGACACAATTTCTACTTGTAAAAACCGAATTTGGATTATAAAAAGCGGAAATGGTGTCTCCTTCAACCTCAAAACGCGTTTGGTTCGTTCATTGTACGGTTGATTCAAATTTTTTTGCGTTTTTTTCGAACAAAATATGTACACATAGCGATCTTCTTTCTCCGCGTGTACCATCCTTCGAATCGAGAGTCACACGATTTTGAGCCTTACACACGTGCGCGTAAGGTCGAAAGTCGCAAGTCATTGGTGTGGATTAATTTTTTCGCGTATGTTGCGCCGATGCGCCGCGTTCCGAACCGCGGTAATCGGAAGCACAAGTTACTTGGACGGAACAACAATCGTGCTATTTGTGCGCGCGCTACTGTAAGTGACATAAATCGGTGGGGAATGGTAGTAAAGCATGCCGCGCGACGCGCAGGGGGCTGAGGGTGGAGGGAGCCACAAAGATCGACAAGCGGTTCGCGCGTTTGCGGAAGCGCGGCGCGGGTACGAATTCGTAGAGCTTCCGCCATGGTTAATCGCGACGTACGCTACGCTACACCGGGGAACCGATTATTGGCAAACACCGTGCGAAAGGGTGCACCTGACAGGGGTTTTCGTCGCGTTCGGTCCTTATCTCCGTGCTCCCCGTCGAAGAAAACTCGAAATTCCCTCCCGGTAGTCTTTGCCCCACGGCGATTCATCCACCCCTCTTCGGCGTTACACACGTACTCTTTACGCTCCGATAGCCCGATTTCCCGCGTTTGGCATGGTAAATTCTCCCAGCGATGTATTCGCGATAGAGCTGCTGGTACTGCGCGAGCGATTATTTCTCACGGTTTATCCGGTCTTGTCAATAACGCGAAATATTAACAGGTGATATTTGAAGGGATTGTCTTTCGATTCGACCAATCTTATCAACTCAAGCTATTGTTGACTCGTCTCCCGAAATTCTCTCTCTCTCTCTTTCTTCCTTCGATTTTTTTCTTCTTAGGCATGTTTTGTCGCATAAACGATCGGAAGAATATTTAACAGTTATTGAGTGCCCTTGGGCTATGTATTTGCAGATTGGAAATAGAGGAAAAGCAAGTTTGCGCAACTCAGGTCTCGCAAGGTTGACGAATCGATTTTCCGTACGTGGTGTCTGGGAAAAACGATTCGATACCTCGCATCGCGAGTTCATGCATCGAAGAGATCAAGATACGGTATTTCCAATCAGTAGTGAAATTGATCGACACAACAAGGTGTACGCGACAGAACCGTACGCGTAGAATTTTTCCGATAAAAACTGCAACACAGTCGTAACGTTGCAGTGGTCGGTTGAAGTGACAGTAGTTTTGTTCAGCACGCGATTTCCTAGTTATCACGTTCCCAACGTTACGCGCTTCCCATAGCTTTGTAACGCGTGCTTTACAGACATATGGTTACAAGTGGTTACATATGTCTTTTTCATCATTTCAATGTTGAAATATATATCGCCGAGTAGTTAAACTTCGTCGTTCTTGAAATATTCCGTACGGTCGAATAATTCCTTATGATGTAAAAATATTGCCAACGCAGATTAATGCTCACAGTTTGCATATTAACATGCCAGCTACTAGGAAGATATCGTATAATAAGATTTAAAGCTCACCAAGAGAAAGCGTGTGCGCACAATTCGCGTAAACATCACGTAAACATCAACTTGCCGGGGTGCTGCAATTGCCATTCTTATCAACTATTTCTGTTCCTTATTAAGGAAATCATTCGTATTTTTACATAAAAAAGTTAGACAATTAAATCTCCGATTATTCTGACAGAAGAAATGATTCAGATAAATCAAAAGAGGAGTTCTCTCCTCTTTGTAAAAATAGACACGGAAAAATCGAACACTTCGACCGCGGCAATCATCGTGAACGTTGAAAAAGAATTGCCCGACAGGGCTCGAATCGTAGATAACTGTAGCAGATTCTCACCTCTCCTGTCTGATCGATGTTCACGCAGCGTGTCAAATTAAACCGCAAAAAAATCCAGGCAAGGCAGCGCGGTGGCGGGCTGTCGATCAGTTTCGCGATCGCCGGCTTTCACGAGCGCCGTAGAAGCTCTCGCGAGCGAGCGTCGACGATGCACCTCATCATGAGGGAACGCATTCTTCTCGTGTTCCGGTTTTCGGCGCGACAAATAAGCGCGCGCGTTGAGTGTCGTCGATTCGTCCGCGCGATTCAAACGCCTTTCGAAGGGGCGAACCGACGACAACGAGGCGCGAATACGGAGCGGAACGCCCGAGACGCGGGAAAGTGAGATTTCAAAGCGAGCACGAGGCCGAGAACGGAATCTCGAGATGCACGTGAGCGGAAAAAAGAAAACTTCGAGAATTCGCGCACGAAGTCACAAGGAACGAACGAACGAACGTGAGCCTCGGGTGACGTTTAAATCGCAAGATAAACGAAGGGGTGATAACGGAGCGATGATAGCGCGCGACAGCGGAGAGAGAATCCCGAATCGCGGAAGCGAGGAGCGGCACAAACATGCGCAACGCACGGGCGGCAGTCGGCGGCCAACTGAGAGTCTCGCTGGAGAACCGAAAGGACGATGCCAGCCAGCCGGTGGCGGAGGAGGCGAAGAGGAGGCGGCGGTTTGCTAACCTCCACCACACGCAATCTCCAGCCGGCCTTAACCTGCGACGCGCTTCCTACAGGCGCGCGATCCACCGGCATCGGACGGATTCGAGCGGGAGACCATCGATGATCCCGGAACACGCTGACGGAAACAATTCGTGAGGCACCTGGCGGAGTTATTTCAGGTCGGTTACACGCCCGTGTAGTGGACCGTATCGCTCCGCGCGATGTGGACTCTGCGGATTACGCGATTGAAACGATCCAGGAGGTTTTGATAATATATACGAGAAGGAAGATTCCCAAGTGGCGGGAGACGTGTTTAAAGGGATGATCTAAGAAAGCGTTCATGCGCATTCTATTACGCGCGGTAATCGACAAGAGATCGCCCGGCCTCCTACAATCGAAATTATGGACCTATAATAAACCTTTAATTCTCTACAACACAGTAGAAGCTAAAATAGCAAATTAGCATCAATTATAATGGAAATAAATGTAAATTTTTAATTTCTATTCCCACTGTTTTTAGTAATAAAAAAAAGATCTTTTGAATACTCGTATATCGTCGAGGTATGAATTTAATAGTCGAAAAATATCGGAAGCGTTTATAACTTCAAAGTATTATAACACTTAATTCTCGGCCCCTACATTTAATCAACTACAGCACCTATTCAAATTTAAATTTTTTTCCCGCCGTATAATCGTTTTAAAGCGCCATTTTTTAGCTTTAAAATGAGCTATAATAGCTGACAGTGCTACTAATATAATTTCAAAAAACGTAGTGAAAAAGTAAAAAAAAGTAGTGAAAGCGATATCGTTCAAAAAGTAGCATCTAAGACATTGCCCCCTTTTCGTATCCCAACTGAAGAAAAATGCCACCGAAACTAAGGAAATGATTTGCTCGGTCTTAAGTGAAAATGTTGCGTCTTATAGCACGTGTAAAAGTAGTTTCAAAAGTTTCAAAATGGCAATTTCAATCTCCAGGATGAAGAACGTCCTGGATAACCGAAGAAAGTTGAAGACGAAGAATTGGAACAGCTTTTGGAAGAAAATCCTTGGCAGACTCAATCAGAGCTTGCAAATGCACTTGCAATGACCCAACAAGCTATTTTGAAACGTCTACATAAGTTTGGTAGGGTTCAAAAGGCGGGCCGTTGGGTTCTGCATGTGCTCAGTCTTGAAAACAAAGAGAAACGCGTATGACACGGCTATGTCCCTGTTATTAAGATTCAAGAAAGATTTTTTACACAAAATACTGGTGATGAAAAATGGGTACACTATGACAATTCTAAGAGACGAAAATCGTGGGTTTATTCGGGTGACCCATCGACCAGCAAAACCAAATATTCCCCCAAAAAAATGTTGGTCATGCATTTGGAGGGACCAGAAGGGCTTTTTAAGGGTTATTTACTATGAGTTGCAAACCCAAAGGTGAAACTGTCAATTCTGAGCGTTACCAGCAGCAGTTGATTAGATTGAGTGACGTACGTGAGGAAGACAGACCTTTTACCGGTGCTAGAAGGAAGAATGTGATTTTGCTGCACAACAATGCGCGGCCGCACACAACGGAAACAACTTTGGAAGTCATCTCCGACATGGGTTGGGAAATTCCTCATGCGGTGTATTCTCCAAACCTCGCCCCTTCGGATTACCATCTTTTCCGATCCTTGCAACATCACCTGGTTGATTCCCACTTCAAGTCTCCCGAGGAGGTCGACAAAAGCATCGACGAGTTTATCAACTCGAAACCACCATCCTTCTTCCGAAACGGATTTCGCCAGAAAGATACATAAAATGTGTAGAATTTCTGTAGAAAAAAAAGAGAGAAGTAAACATGTATAATATCGTCACAGTAAGTTTTTATTTTAATTTATCTGAATAGACGCAAACTATTCTTACAGAAAAAAAATTAGTATTAAAACTCATATTCTGTTATATATAAGCAAAACATATAATTTTATATGAAAATAAAACTTGCTTATTTATAAAAAAATTGGATAGAAAGAACTATACTTCAAATTGTATAACTATAATTCTTAATTTGAAAAGATATCGTTATTTCTATATTAAACATTTTTCCCTCTCAATTCATGAAAATTATTCTTGAATAACAAGAATATGATATTTTTAGCAGAAGTATATAGAATTTCTTCATTTATACGCAAGTTTTATCTTCATATAAAATATCATATATTCTTGCCTGTATTAATATAAGATCATAAATTTTGAATTGATATTAATATTTGTTTCCGCGTAGGAGCGTCAAGGTAGCATCCAAATTTCGACTCGAATAGATTCGTTTTTGAAAGCGCAGGATATTTCTCGAAGAAACGCAACTTACACACTCGAAGATCAATTTATCTACGAACCGGTGCGATTTTACACACACACGCCTTCGCTTCTTCTGACAATTATCGCACTCTAATTCCACGCGTTGATAACAACTGTGTCAATTAATAACGTCGACTTAATAACAGCTGTATCAATTAATATCAGCTTTCGATTAAATTCGTATTAGTATTATTTCACACGCGGAGAGACTCTCATTTCCCAAGAGCCCCTCGTTTGTTTCATTTTCTCGGACGGATCCAAAGCCGCGCGATCGATGCGGAATCATCGTGGAGCGATGTTTCTCGCCGATGAGGTGCGAGACGGTCGAAATGTAGGCGCGCGCACGTTCCTATACGCGATATTGTAAACGGGGCAGTGTGCTCCTGACGTGTCGATATATTCCCGCGAAGAAAGGCTCTGCCGCTGAAGCTGAGAAATAGCTTGGCCTCCCTCGTACCTCGCACCTCTCTGTCGACACCCCCCGGGAGGGGGTGCGGACTCACCTCACCTCGGCACTTTGAATCCTACGCCGCTCTCCTTTACCGCGAGTTTCGCTCCGCTTTTAGCGACGCGCGACATCGATCACCGCCATGCACGAAATCGCTGCGACAGTTTCTGCACGGTCATAAAAGTTCGAAAATCTCCCCGAAGCAGTAATCCGCGCGAAACCTGTGCGAGTCCGCGTTAGACAATACCGAGGAGATTTGCGAAATTTGTAGATTATTCGATATATTGGCGAAAATTATTTCTCAGAGCACAATCTCCGTCGAATAGTCGATGATATAAATAAATAATTATAAACGTCCGTATTTTCTTCTTTCTGAAGATCGTGAAATTTCTATCTTTTCCGTTGTTCAGAAAACACACAGATACACATAATCGCTTTATAGAATATAGAGCGTGCACTAGAATCATATTTTTTTTTGTTAGAACTATCTTTCAACTTCATTGGCCTACAATCGCAGATCAAAATAATAAAAAGTAAAGAAATTGCAATTTGTTTAATTAAAACCAAAACCATTGTCTAAATTTGAATTTCTTTCAATAACCCAACATTGTGTAAATTCGAATTTCTTTCAATTAACTTAAAATTGGATTATCTATGAATGCATGATCAAACATTAAAGTAGAAGAGTTATTTTTATTCTCGAATTTCGTCAACTTCTTTCTTTTCACAGTTTTTCAGATATAGAATTTAGAAAATGGCACAGGATCAAGTATCACCCTGTTTGCAGTTCAAGTGATTTTTTGGAAGTGTGCGGCTAAAGAATTAATAAAGATTATTATTATTATTATCATGATAGTCGAAGGCTACGTAAAAATTACTCCAATTATTCAATTAATTTCACCATTTTCCCCACTTACGCACATTTCGTTACCCATACGAAAGAAGAACGAGACGCAAGTCGCGAGAGAGCGCACGGTGACATTCCTCGACGTCCCTCTATCGAACGGCCATCCATCTCGATTTCGAGCGGGCCATCTCTCTCGTGTCCGCGAGAGCATCGAGCCGTGACCGATTTTCGAATTCGGGCACTCACGAGGAATGCTCGTCGACCCACAATCGCGCCGGCTGTCTTCGTAGAGGACGCGGAAGACGAACGTGCCACCGACCACCCAGCTCGCTTCGATGCTCAGTATCGATCGATCCATGCGGCATTCTCAAGGTTCATCAGCCGTGGACGACTCGCACGGCTCGAAGTCAATTCGCGATATGCGAAACGAAATAGCAGGAATGCAAACATTTTATGGTATTGTGACAGTTAGCATTTATTCTTTGAATGCCCGGAAGGCGAAGACCATCATTATAAATTCAATGAATTTTTGAGTAAAAAGAACATCGTTGATAGCTCAAGGTGCAGCTGCGGGTACGAAGTAGAAAATATCAATCACGTGGTCTTTGTGTGTAGAGGAAAAGCACCAAAACTGACATAGGTATGATAAACCGACATACTTATGTTTTTCAAGTATAAAGTACTGAATTCAGACAGGAAATAAATTTCGCCTAATATATATAGTAGTTGGAGCTAAAATGGCGCTTTCTATTTTGCAAGTATATTCGGTTGTGTCATTAGTATCGTTTAATCTTTCGTGTGTAATCCTTCGTTTTGTTGAAGTTTTGTTGAGCTTTCTCTTATAAAAATTAAAATAACAATTAGCGACAAGTAATTTATTTCACAATGCTATTTTATAATGTAAGTTTTGAACCTTTTAAATTTCACTTTGGATTTTGTACCAATTTCTTTATCTTTTATTATTGAACCACGCAAGAAAAGTTAGGGTCAGGTTATTCTGTAAATCGACACATCTGAATTTATTGGTTTCTCTCAATCGACATACCTGAATTTTGGTTGAAATATCATTTCACAGAATACAATTGAAGCTACCGGTGACTGAATTTTTCCTGTATCTTTCGTCTATTTGTTGAAAATGGCCGGAAAGAAGAAAAGGGATCTTTTTCTTATATAATAACAAAATAGTGTATCAGTTTTGATGCCTTTTCTTCTAATAAATATTAAAAATCTAAATTTATATTGAAATTAGAAATATTTGGCAAGAGTTAGCCGATCAC